AGTTACTTTGAGTCTCTTCTCATTGTCCTTCTGGTGTAGTACAGCTTTCAACCTGAGGAATACGAATTCTGAATGTAAAATGACGTTGTACATAACAAGGGTAAATAGAACAGGATTCGTAAGACTAGAAATGAATTATGATAATTAACCTTATGAGTTTGGCAACAGTCGTCCATTATACATCTTGTCAAGTAACTTCCTTGCGTCTGGCCGCCTAAGAAGACCTTTATTATTAGGTAAACCAGTTCCTAAACATACAGGACATACTAGTTTCCCTCGTCCTGTTCATCCCATAAGAAAAAATGTCATCATGTTAGTATTCAACATAAGATAAAATGAATCATTCTGAAAGCAAAGATCATAAAGCAAACGATTATCAAAGGGAAAGACTATCGGTGGTATGTCTTGTTGGGATGTATCGAAATGAAAATGGAGCGGTTCTTGTTTAATGACTCGATAAAGAAAACCCTACGTCTTATGCAATATTCAAATTTTGGTTTTGTGACTATGATCTACATTTTGACTTCTTTTCTTCCTTATATGGATTCAAAGGTTCTATAATAACATACCGTAACAATTGGGGCACTCAGTGAACTCATAAACGTCTTTAGCTCGTTTTCTGTTTAGAGCTTTCCATTTTCCTGTACCACCACACATATCACCTATATAAAAAACAGATGAAAGTCTTAAAGTAGATAGAGCACCAACATAAGTTATGCATACAAAATTATAGTGCTTCATCAAAATTGGGATAATTCTTTGATTCATGTCCAGGATAGTAAAGAACTAGCTTCGTTTTGTCCTTCGGTTACTTGGAAAATGTATGACAAAAGATTTAACAGACATCAATAGCTCACAAATTATCTGTTTTACGATATAATGTGAGGAAGAGATTGGAGGAAGACAAGTTTTGAACAGAATTGTAAAACAAGAGATATCAAGCAGAAAAAAAAAAGATATTGGAGTAGCAAAAGGGTGTAACCTTTATCAGAAAAGAGAACTTAAGTAGTCAAAGATCCCTTCAATCACTACATTGCGTCCACTTAGAAGAGAAAAAGATAGAAGCACAAGAAACTTGTATGCTAAACAATCATGAATACCATCATGTCACCACTGTATGTGAAGGAAACTAACTATAAGGAAATAATTTAGATATTCTTATTCAGACTTCTCTCTCTTTTTGGTTTGTATTAGCTCAAGTTTTCAATTTCTAAACCTGTTCTTTGGCAAAGTTGCCAAAACAGTTTGTTCAGGTGAGTTGTTCTGATGATCAATAATTCTCAAGTTTCTTAAGGTGTGTTGTTTTGATGCTCAACAATTCTCAAGTTTGCTAGGTTAACTTCGATAAAGAAAAGTTCATTGAGGTACTTGTTTCCATGTTCAACACTTAAAAAGCAGAACTTTTTGGATAAAACATTAGAACCTTAAATTCTCAACGATACAGTACTAATGACACAATAAAAACTTTCGGCAAGTCATTACATATTGAGTTGCATGTATTTATGTGTGTGTTAGTTTTGTTAACTATGTAGGTGCCTTTCTGTTATTATTCAAAGATTTAGCATATACTGGACCCTATAATTTTATAAGGGTACTGAATTTGGTTATACGGGCTGCTGTTTCAATATGAAAATCTTCGAGAACTTGTTTATAGTCATGGAGAAGCATAAGAAAAGTTCTCTTAGAACATGTTACTAAATGTAATATGATTAGTGGGATGAAGCAAGTAAAGCAGGAATCAATATACACTTACAAATTATAGCGCCACTACCCCCACAATTCCGACAGCCAGGACTTTCATTTCCATCTAAGGCAATTGCTCTTGGTTCAGAAATTGGATTTCCAGAAGCAGTTATCAGAGCTCCAGTTGAGCATAGGCAGGTCAGACACCATCTCCGTGAGACTGATGTTTGAGATCTCTGTTCCAAAAAGCAACAGCAGACAAATCAATAAATATAATCTGATGATAGTTGTAGACAAAAATAGCACATTGCCAATTTTACTGTATACAATACATTACTTTTTGGAGGGTCGAACAAGATTTTCCTCATTATAATTTTCTCAAACATTTTCAAAAGACATTATTTACAAAAATAAAAACTAGAAGTTCCAAAGTCATCAATTGACTCTACATAGGAAGGAGTGGAGTCCCGTATTAAGGTAAAAGGTTAGTAGGGGTAGAGTGTTGTCTAGTCTTACAAAGGCTTAGGCTTGTTAGTGGCTATCGTAGTACTAGTTTTACCCTTGTAGTTCTTGTCATATGTTGTTTATTGTGTTTCGAGTATCACATTATTTTGCTATTGTTATTGTTTCGAGTAGACTTTACAACTGTTGTCTCTTCTTCTTCTTTTACTTGGGTTTGATGGAGGCATCAAAGCCGAGGGTCTTTCGCAAACAATCTCTCTACCTGCACGAGGTAATCATAAGGTCTTAGCGACACTCTAGACTCCCCAGACCCCACTTAGTAGATTTTACCAGGTATGTTGTTGTTGTTGTTTAGCAATCCCATCAAGAAGCTGTAAGAAGTTACCAACCTTTTCCTCTACATGTTCCCGTAAATGCTCGGAAGATGCAGAAGTACAACTCTCATCTTCTGAGCTGCAGTTCACATGAGACCCTACCCTCTTCTTCATATTCACTGTCATTTCCAGAAAAGTAATTACTCCCGAGTACCAACATATTTTTCAGACGCTCAAAAAGGGTCTTCAAAAACATTAACTTATAAACAAAATCCCAATCGGAAAGAACAATCAAGAATGAAGTCAACCGGTCCAAAAAAACAAACAAATAAATCTATCCCAATTGCATTTCAACTATGTATACTGTTTACTAAATGGTCTGTTCGTGGAGTGGTATAAAGTTCAAATCCCAACAAAGCCAAAAGAAAAACACTGGGTGAGTCTTCCCATCTGTTCTAGCCTTGGTGGATAGAGTTATCTATGAATTAGTCTAGGTGTGCGAAACCTGGCCAAACACCATACAAACTTAAGTTCCACTTTGAGAGATTTCATCTGTATACTGAAGTAGGATCATGAAAAACTACAAAACTTGAACGAAAAACCAAACAAACAAATATTCCAAGAAGAGTACAATACAAAATGACCTTAACCAAAATCTACTGCAAAATCCAGCTTCTAATCAACTCACACTAATATAAAGAAAAACATTTGGAGTTTTAACTATGAACCCCATAGAGCTAAAGGAATGAGAAATAAGAGATGGCAAACCATATTTCTCATTCTATTTCCTCTCTATCTCATAACTTCTACATATACACTCTATAACAGTAAGTTAAGAAACAAAAAGTTCAGATTTTTAGAATGACATTTGAATTTTGAAACTACAAATATCAACAAGGGTCTTCAAAAATATCAACTTCATCAAAAAAAAACAATAGCCATAACAAGAGCCCATAACCAACGACTACAGCGTATTCTCACAAGTGAGGTCTGGAGTGGATAGCGTGTACATTACCTTGTTGAGGTAAAAGATTATTTCCGAAAAACCGTAAAAATACATTAACAAGGAACATAACAGCAAATAAACAAATGAGTATGTCCCAATTACTATCTCAATTGTGTGATATTAACTTAAACTTGCTTCCACATCATAAAAAGAATTCAATTCCCCAAAAACATAAACTTTCAACCAAAATGACCTTAAACAAATAAAAAAAAAATCCCACTTTCAAGATTTTATCTTTATGCAGAGTAGAATCAAGGAAACTACAAAAATCTGACCTAAATTTAAAAAAAAAATCAAGAAAATTAAACAAAAGATTGATGTATCATCTTACACTGACTTAAAGAGGAAGATTTGGGGTTTAAGTATGAACCCCATAGAGCTGAAGGAGTAGAAAATGAGAGGTGGGAAGCCATCTCTCTCTCTTTTTTCTGTTTCTCAACTTCTACATATAAAAAAAAAAGTTAGAGATTTTTATTACTCCCTTTGAAGATAACTAGTTTGACTTTGAACAAAATTTTAAAAAAAAAAGAATATTTTTTAATTTTATGATTGTAAATTAAAGTTAAGTTAAATAAATCAAAATATCTTTCCTTAAATATGTCACATGAAAAATTTATAAAAAAAGATATATATTTTTTTAAACAGATTAAAATGAAAATGAAATCATTCTTTTTAAATCATATTTGTGATTTTGAAGCTAAGATAATATCAAATTTGAGTAAAAGAAAGCAAAGGGTGTTTTGGGTTTTTTATTGTTTTTTGTTTTTTGATGAATGAAAAAGAGGGAATCAACATGGATAATAAATCCTAGCCTCTATTTTCTATATGAATGAATATGTAAGTTATGATTAATTCATTTCTACCCCTTAAAGTTTAGATAGATGACTTTTGCTTACCCTATACTCTCAAAAACATTTCTCTAAGCTTAAAAAAAATAGTACATTACACCTTCTTGTTAATTTACCGTTTAACTATTATTTTACATTTAAATGATTCAGAGGAAAAACATGTATTTGAACATACAATTAAACTCATAATTTATCATATAATTATTAAATTCATAATTGAATATCTATAATTTTTTAATATAAATATATGGCCTCATTCAATCGAACTTGTATCTAGTACTATTAGTTTCTCCATTTATAGTCTGTTTAGTATTATAAATTTGAGTTTTTCATCCGTATATTAAAATATATAACTTGATATTACTCTTTTGGGAAGAATAATCAGTCACTTAGAAGTATTTTCTTAACAATTATCCAAATATTTAATAACAACCCTTACTGATTCATACTGGTCCAATTAATCAATAATCTCCATAGGCACAAATTCCATTTTTTATAGGACCAAATATAACCCATCCTTGTTGACTAATGTATTTCAATACACTGAAATCATCAACAAAAAGCGAATAAAGACTACTCAATGTAGCCACATAAGTGGGATCTGAGAAATATAAAATGTACCAAGACCTTAATTGACTCTTTAGGCAGATGGTTTCGAATAGCTATGAAGAATCAACTAAAGACGAATAGAACAAGATAATCGATAGGTAAAGATAACATTAAAACTTTCCCCAGAAATTTGAGTACACGAAACAATTATTGCAGCAAGAACAATTGTTCCTGTACTAGTAGGATAACAACAACATCATAAGCAGAAAGCTGTTACACAGAGCAGCTACAACATTTTCATAATTTTAAGACAAACTAAAAGTTCTCCTATAGCATAACATTCTAAGACACATCTAACTTCTTACCACCACCACCATCCATTTACACTTGGACAATGAAACAACAAGATATAAGATCCAAATGTCGGGTTACAACAATTTGGTCACGATTTGTTTTAAGATACAGTGCGTCCATAGCATAGACAAGAAAGATACAGATTCTTTCCCCATTTTTCCTGCACAAAGAATCAAGGATAGAACACAAGTCAACAACTCGCTCATATAATAAAAAATGATGTGAATAGAGTGTATTTGTCGAGGGAAACCCTTAGTCGCTACCCTTAGGGTGCACACAGGATAGAACCCTCGCTCCTATGCAATAGCCAACACAACAATTAGGCAAAGTAGAGAACAATTTCACAAACACTACCTTAACATGTGTGCTGGGAAACTGAGATGTTCGCAGAGTTTCTTGAGTCTCATCACCAGGTCTTCGGCGAGGTACACTCAGGATAAGAGCAGCTTGGTCTGGCGTAGCAGCTGTTGCCGTAATACGATAACCATTATCCCACCTCTTATGAATACCCTCACTAGGATAAAGGAAATCAAGCTCTACCACCTATAAAACATTAAAAATCTCCATGTTAGCAGATGAGACAGAAACTACTGCCCCACACAACTAGGAGGCTGTGAATCACGCTCTAGTCACATGACCATGCTTCATCAACTAGACTTGGTATCCTACTTTCATGTTTCCTCAGAACTCAAGGATATCGTATTACAAGCCAATAGAACAGATGCTGTTCAGGTAGGGCCGTAACATAAACAAACTACATGATTTCAAGAAAAATAAAGAGTAATGGACTTTCTTTTAGTAAGAAAAAAGAAATTATAAATCAAGTGTAACAAAACGAGGTATGGACTTATTAAGTAAATTTTAGGACAGAAGGTCATTAAACCAACCAACTTCATTTCCTCGCAGACAAAATCTTACTGTGACTACCCTTTTAGATCCTTAAGCCTACGCTTCATGGGGAAATTTATCCGATAATTTTTCCAGGTTATCACCACAAAGGGAGGAGGGGGCAGAAGGAAATGAGATACCGTATTAACACTAACACCAGATTAAATATTGTATGAGAGTGTTAAAGAGGGGAGACAAACAACCTGATCACTGAAGCCTGAATTGCGTGACATAACAACAGCCCACCTAGTGTTAGCAGTTGCCATGGAGGTCACATGGAACCCTTCTTTCCATTTCTTGCTTATCCACTTGAAGGGAAATGACTCACTGACTTTATAAGACTGTTGAGTGAACTGTGTGCCTGCAAAAAATGACACAAGTATTATATACAAAAATAAAGATAGTCCAGGAACTAGATCTGCATCCAGAAAAGCTCAAAGCTGGCAAAACAATCTGCATTTGCCTTTGCATAGGAAAAAATACCCTCCACAACAATTAGATGACGAAATGCAACTCAAATATCAAACTTCTATTCCATATATCACCAACTAGTGTTAAACTGGCATATACAAGACGTAACCCAACATTTACCAGCTCCAAAAAAATATCTGAAGAGGTAACCCATCATCATATAACACCATCTGACTGAACAATTTTTAGACTCGTACATCATAAAAACTGATAAAAAGCTAACACCTTCTGATTCGCCTTACAAATATAAGAAACTATCATCACAGAACGACATCAGGAGACAACTACCCTAGCAACTACAGCTTAAGAGCTCCAATAATCCATATATTATACATTTAGATAGGGCTATACTTTTGTCTTCGCACTTTTGGCACAATGTATATAAATCCAGCACATTCTTAGGGCTGTTTATGAGTAATAATAAAAACTTGCCATTTTACAACACGAGAGAGAGAGAGATACATGTTATAGTTGGATGCATAAAATCGAAGAAGGAAAATACAGATCCAGCAGTAGAGCTTGTTTTCAATGCAAGATGAAGTTCAGAGGGACCAACAAAAAAAGAAACCAACAGAAAGCATATCTTGCAGTAATACAAATAGCCCAATCAAAATTATGTCGTGACCTACTAAACCATATGCACCAAGCATAACATGCTAGTTAATTGTAACTTTTGCTGACTGATAAGCAAGAAAAGATATCTAACTGTATTCTCTAAAAGTGGGTAAAAGATTAAAACAAGTAGAAAGAATTAACCTACAGCATGTTAAAAGAAACCCACCTTTTGACATTACTACTAAAGAGGCTCCATTTATGCCACCAGCAAGAGAACTAATATAATAGTTTTTCTCCCATTGCTCCATAATCCACTCCTGTAACACACATTTGGAAGATTAGATAAACACATCTGAAGCTAAAAAGCTGCACACCACATGAAGACTACATGGAACTTCTAATTACCTTGTGTAAGAAGAAAGGTGACAGCTCATAAACTTGGCTAGTGAAGTTCGTTCCAGCATCCATGATGATAGCCCATAAGCTAGAACATGATGCTACACAACTTATAGACAAACCATCCACAGACCCTTTCTCCACATGCTGTGCCAATCTTGTGTCTGCTACATTGTAATGGTACCTAATGAAGTCATGATGTTAATATTAGGGAAAGTTGGGGTACATTAGATGATTTTTTCTTTTGTATCAACTATCAAGTAATAATATTCATAATAATTAGGCGTAAAAAGTGGCTGTATCTCACAGCAGAACAAGGTCTCTACAAAAGCCAACCAATCCTCTATACCTATCCAATCAACACTATGGAGCGAATAGAAAAGGATCATCTCCTAATACTGTGGAGCATAGATGAAGATAAAACAGATCTTCCAGAAAAATCTTTAGTGATTATGCCATCAGAAGACAAAGGACACTCCATGTATTCTTCTTAATAAAATAAGTAAATGAGTATTGACTAATATACCAAATTTGGCAGATATTTGTTTCTCTGACTACCATATACAGCCTCCAAAAAGTTCAAAATATATTACCAGCAGAAGCTTAATTTTACCTGCTCCCAAAATCCAAGAAGTTGAAAACTTCCAGGAGTACCATTCTGCATATATCTTACCTCTCCAAACCCCACTTGTGTTATTACCCCCCCCCCCCCCAAACCAACAAACCACATCCCCATTTAAGGTGAAGAATCCAGAGCTAATGTTCACCACAGACAAATACTTATTAACTGCCATAAAAGACAAATCACGTGACATGATATATGTACCTCTGTTTCATCGGCTTTCTGGCATTATATATTGAAATCCATTGCGTCGCAGGAACACCGATTCGAATTTTCTTCTGAGGCTGCTCTTCTTCCTCATTTAAAGTTAGTCTCCCCCGCTTTTGGCCAACTTGAATAGCCTATAATGATTACACCATAAGCCCCATATAGTAGTGTAATAAAGCTTACCTACTGTTGACTCGTATAAAATTTAGAATACTTACCTTTTGAGCACCATCTGTGTTGATCGGCCTTATAGCAGGATCAGCTCCAAGCAAGCTCCCAAATAAAGAGATTAACTTTGAATATTTCGGTTCTTCATCAAACTTCATGTTAATTACTGTATCAAGAAATTCTCTAAAAGGTGCAGGGCAGAAGCAACAAAGCATCTCTGGAGATGTTGCCATCTTTTTTTTACAGACTAAAAATGATTTGTTATCACCCTGCAATCCAGAAATATAAATTGTAACAAGAGACGTGGGGGTTGTTCAATGACTGAAACAAAGTGTATGCAGTGTAAAGACTGGAAAGAAGCAGGTAAAGCAGAAACCTGATAGCCCTGCCATGGGAGCCTGCCTCGATGAAGAAAAATTAGTGTATATGCAAGTGATTCCAAATCATCTCTTCTACTGGCAGTCCTTCCCAAGTGAGCATGTGCACTTGCATAGCGAACAGTCCCTCTGAAATTGATAGACAGAAGTTAGTATTGGGTAGATATAAGAAAACTAAGCAAAGGATAGCAGAACATCACCACACCTGAACGTGTCAGGACGCTGATCATATCCGACATGCTGCCCTTTTGAAGTGTCTTTCCACTTTGTGGCTGTAATTGGTAGATAAATAATTAGGAAAAGGGTTATCAAATTAACAAACACAGAAACCTACACTAAGCTCTCTTACCCAGTCCCAAGTCAACTAGGAACAACTTCTTCTCTTGTGGTGTTGATGGCTGGCCAAGTAAAAAGTTTTCTGGCTTCACATCTCCATGAACATAACTGAGATCAACAAAAAAGTCACTACGAAGAATTCAAAAGAGAAGTACAATGACTACAAATTAAAAGTAGTTCAACATTCAGCAAATAAAAAGAACCAAACTGATTGCAGGAAAAGAGTGAATCCGTACCCTTTCGCATGCAGCTTTTCCAAAATCGACAATGACTCAACTGCAATACAAGCCACCATTTCTGCTGACATTCTGCATAAGTAGGATTTATGAGCAGACCATATTCAACTGACACATTGATATATGGTAAACCAAAACTCAATAAGTTTATCAACGATGTTTTTGCTGTTCTTAGAAATAAACCCCAGAAAATCAGAATCTACACTATACACAATTGCGAGCAGATCCTTATCACCAGTGTTTAAGGATGGATATCAAGGACCATTTAACTTTGAAATTAGAATTACTACATAGTTCATGTCAAATAATTGGTGACTTATTTTAGACCATTTTTCAATTTGAGAATGCCATCCTTGAGCAGGTTGACTTATTGAACGACGGTATTTCTATTATCAATTTATCATAATAATCAAAAATAACTGAAAGAGTGGGGAAAAAGCAGCCACTTCTGGAGGTCTGACAATTGAAGAAGTCTTTGTTCAGTAAGTATGTTTAATACTAGCATTAGCTACTTACGATTGCCCAGAGGAATTCCATACATCCCATAAGCTAGGGCCTAGCATGTCCATAACCTGCATACATGATAATAATAAGGTCAATACGCACACACATTTTATTATTATATACAACAGCATTCACTAGTCCAGAAAACATACAGAGCAGAATCCGTTCATTGAAAAGAGGTCCTAATCATTAACAACCACTTTGCTGGTAACTCATCGGATCAGAAATATTTATCTCTCCTTAACTTTCTGTGTATGTCCCAAAATTTTATCCCATTTCAAAAAATTATATCTTTATTCTATCAATCAATCTTCAACAGCAAGAAAACGGACATGATTCTAGCAGACTCTTTACTAAACAATTAGGAGAATATGCTTGACAAAGGTCCCTTTTTTTCTTAAATTGAACAGGAAAGAGTGACAATTTTTGTAAGACGAGTGGACTAACAATTTGAAGTAAAATGGTCACTTTTTTTGTAGTCGAGAAATCCACCAGGACCAGTGGTACATGGTTTCACACTCTGTGGATGATGGCTCACCCCTCCAATGTTCTCCACTTAAATAGGAGTACTAGGCTTTCATTTGCAGCAAGGTTTGAACATGTGACGTGTTCCTAACCCACACATCACAAGTAACGTTCTTAACACTAGACCAAAGCCCGGCAGCTAATATCAAAGACGACTTCTGAGATCCAGGGGAAGTGTAATAGCAAAACAAAATCAGTCCCCTCAAAAGACAATCATACCAAAAAGAAAGTAAGCAACTACCAAAAGAGTTCCACTCATTCAATTAGAACAGGACCTGGCTAAATAAGTGAATAAAAAATAAAGACCTCCATTGTACACTAAAGCTATTTGTTAGCTTGGTAAGAGCAGATATGAGACCCTCTTAAAACCTTGAAATATATCACGCTGCCTGCCTATTAAATATATTTTATTTAATTCTCTTTGGATGCTGAAATTAGAATGCTAAAAGAGGTCACATTCACTGTCTCAACTCATTATCTTGATGTTTCTCCCAAAAATAAATATCCACAACTCAATTTTTTTATCCTCCATTACTATAATCAATGCAAATCTGTCTTGGTGAACATACCATCACATAATACTCTCCTGCCCGTCCTTTATAATGCACTCTAGGCACTCCATGGCTGCCTCCAAGAGTACTGAACCAAAAAAAAAAGGAACTTTCAGTCCTGCAAATCTCATTTCAGTACAAGTGTACACAGTAACTTTAAAAGATATCAATCCTTACTTGTAAACCTGCCACTCATATGGAGGGCCATAGCTACAGCCTTTGCTGTTTCGATGCTCAAACTTCAGTGCGACCTAGAGACATAAAAGAAAATCAATATGGTTTTCTTTTATCACGTAAAATAAGATTTCATTAACAATTGCATCGAGAAGACGCTAAGATTAGTAGACAGATAAATTAGCCTTGTCGAAAAGGATAACGGGAAAAAGTGGATAGATTATTCATATGCAACCACTTTACCTCCAAAGCCAAGGGACCACTAGCACGTTCATTTCCACCGGTAAGACGGCGACCCAAAAACACCTGTCCAAAACCACCTTTACCTAGCTTCCTTTCAACCTTATAAACTGGAGATCCTCCTACTTGCACCTGAAAACAACATTCAAACAGAAAGCAAAAAATGAGTGAAATTTCGACATTTAATACAAAGATTTGAAGAAAAAAAAGAACTTAGAACACGACGACAGTAAAGCTCAATATCGAGATTCTAGCAATTAAATGTCACATGTGTCATCAAGCTTTTTTAAGCTAAAAAGGCTTGCAGAAATGATGAGAATCACATGGGAGGGGAATGGACAGTCGTCTATGGCTGGATCAAGCAACTTCCACATACTAAGTAGCAGGTATAACTGTGTAATTATATACGATATAGTAAGTACATTGTATTAGAATTAAGAAATTCTAGAGCTCAGATGCTAGTATTCCCTATTTACTTCACATACCTACTATCAAATATATGATAGCGGCTAAAAATAGATAGCAATGCTAAAGCATACACAAAACATGTATTTGAGTAGGACTAACGACATTGATGCGATCTCCAACTATCTCCTCAAGGTCAATATAGTACCAAATTTACTTCCTTTTACAAGAAATAGCCAGAATTTAACATAGAAATACACATTTATTATGATTCAAAACATAAAATCCCTTTAAACACCTAGAACACCTAGCAAAACAACACATTGCTTCAAACAAGAAAGACATAACATCAAAATTATCTAAAGGAAGATGTAACATCTAAGAACATCGCATAAATTTGCAGGCTTCACTAAAACCAGCCCCAACTAGCTTTTTTGGGATTAGATACAGAAATTGATGATCACCGACCTGATCAGGGAAGAGAAAGATGCTACATATAGATAACAATTCCAAAACATAAGCAAAACATGTATGTAAGTAAGACCAATGACATCAATACAATGGAAAACAATCCACCATGGTCAATATAGTACCAAATCTACTCTCTTTTTTCCAGAAATAGCCCGAATTTAACCGAGCAATACACATTTATAATGATTCAAAAACACAAAATCCCACAACACCTAACAAAACAACACAATCACTTGCTTCAAACAACAAAGACACAACATCAAAATTTTCTAAAACAAGATGATCATGTATAAGAACCAAGCATATATAGATGTAAAGCTAGTTTTTTTTTAAGATTCAGATGAAGAGATGAATGATCACCCACCTGATCAGGAAAAAGAGAAGTACTTTCATCTTCCTGTGCAGTCACTTTATTATTAGCACTCAAACCACCACTCTCATCACCCATCTTATGCTCTTCTTCAACTTCTTCTCCCTCTACTCTCTCGTTTTCGTTCTCCTTCACTTCCTCTTCCTCTACTTCCACAAGCTTTGCTTCTGCTTCCGCTGCCTTAGCCTTAGCAGCACGAGTCTTTATATAACTCCGACCACCAACACCACCGCCACCAACCCTTTTCTTCGTTTCGGGTTTTGTTTCAACTACTGGAGGAGGAGCACGGCGCCGACATACCCCACTCCGCAACTCCGGCATTCTTTTTTACCCATATAAAATTGAACAAAAACAACAACCCGATTCCGATTGCAACACATCACTTATACTTTCATCATCATAATCAAAACCCTAAACATACAAAAACAACCCCAAATCCGTTTCTACAACAAACTCAAACTCGATTGAATTTCTGAAACCAAATTCAAAAACTGGAAGAAAAAAAAACAAACTTTTGATGCTAGGGTTTGTTCAAATACTGTAAACGATCTGTAATCCGCGTGAATGTCGATGAAAAAGCACTACTTTTAGAGAGAGAGTGGGGGAGGAGAGAGAGAGGTGGGTATACATTCTACTACCAAATTTCTTCTACTTATAGGTATTTTCTTGATAGTTTAGGGACTACATTTGTAGTTAAGAAGAAAATGGAGGGTCTATTGAGCAAATTTTATGTTCTTTTTTTAATGGTAAGAAAAGAAAGAATGGGAATTGGGACAAGGAAAATCACAAGAAAGTTGGTGTTAGTTGAGCCTCCAAAGTTTACTATTAGACAATTTGGTCCTTTTTAATTGTTGTCGACATTTTAATTATCATGATTTTAAATTTGAAATTTTTCAAAAAAAATATGATTTTAAAAAGAAAATGTAAAATTTAAGTTTTGTGAAAAAAGAGATTTAGCATTTTAAGTTTTGAAACAAAAGAAAAGACGCATGTTTGATGTAAGAGATTGTTAATATTAAAAATCGTATTGAGTAAAATTTATTAAACAAACAAATGTTTTCTATTAAAATGTTTTTTAAGTTTTCTTGATTTGTTTTTTTGTTGAGTATTTAGTGTATTAGTTGTTAAATGATTATTTCTATGTTAAATCTATCTTTCTCTAGTTATTATTTTTATGGTTATTATATAGTAGAATACATATTTATGAGTTTTAATTCATTTGATCATATATTATTTGATGGTAACTTTTAAATTTAATATTTGAATTTGAGTCTGTTTAAATTAATTACATAATTTTATATGTGATGGTTCGTAAAAGACAAATTTTATTATAAATAAGTAACTAAATTAATGAAAAAGATTATTATTTCATCATAGATGGAACATGATAAACTAGCATATTACCTAACTATTCTTTTAATTGTGTGAACTAAATTTGATATGTCAGGAGCAAGAGGAATTAACATATTAAATTCGTAATTGTAAAAGTAAGTCGATTTTAAAAGAAAATATTATTAATTTAATTTATTACTCAATTATTTATATACATTAGATCACTCTAGGTTCGACGTGTCTGTTATGACGCAATTATAAATAAAATAATTTTAAAAAATAAAGACGTTACAAACTTTTTCACGTTTAAAGCAATGAGCGTGTCTTATATTTACGTCAGAAGGATATCGTGTAAGAAAATACTTATTCCAGCTGTATTCTGTCGGTAATATTAGTCTTTTTCCTTTTCTGTACTTCTTCGTAAATTTCAAAACACGTGCTTCATCTCGTGCAATTTTTTGTTTCTGTGTCTTCCTATATTGCTTTTGAGAATCGTTTGCGCCTACACGTTATTACGAAACACACATTTTATATATCATACATAATAATATGAGTAACTCAATTAGCATTGTTTTCGGTTAGGTGTAAAAGTCAAATATCAAGTTCTATATTTAAATGTAAAAATAAATAGCATAATAAAAATTTAAATTAAAATTCAAACAGTTCTAAATTATGAAAGTTTTAATGAATTATTAGTGAAATTCTAAGTTAACATTTGAAACATTTTTCACATGCAGCTAGACTTAGATATGATTAATTATAATTGTACACAGGTGTTAAAGTCAATTTCCAATTGAATGTGAATTAAGGTTGTACGGAATCTTTATTAGCATAGGTTGAGTTCAACGTTATCCTACTAATTAAGATTTTCTATAAGATTATATATGATTCTAACTTCAAACGAGCATATATCTAAGAATATGAAGAATTTTGTATTTTATTAACCACTGTTGCGATCAAATTACATACGCAAGTGCACGTGATCGCACAAGTAATAGAGTGGCTCTTTCTGAGAGTCGGGTATTGTGTACACATAAGGACTTACGATTAGAATTTATCAATTTTCCTGATTTACAGTTCAACACAAATGTAATTTTTAGATTTTTAAAATTGTTTATTATCTACTTATAACTTAAAATGAAATGTGACTAATATGATTCAATTTCACGAGTTACGAACAATGATTTTGTGAAATATCCAGGGCTGTAACTTTTATTGGAAGTAATGCTGCAACTTTTATCATGAGTAATGCAATCAATATAATTTCATTGGGTAATTATTAACTATCGAATCACTAAATCACAGGGTTAGATGTATGATCATGGTCTCACAACCTCTAATCGCCTACAATATTTAAATCACTAACTACATTGATGAGCGGGGATAGATTAATTAAATATTGAGCATTAAGATCTTCATATATGGTGATCCAAGCGAGGTCTATAGGTATATTCCTATCCTAGAGACGAATCAGCCCTAGCTATTTAGAGTTCAACAAGCTCTCTATGACTCACGTTCTATCCTCTTATTCCTCTCCCGAATTCAATTTGGACAATAAATTTATCTATATGGTGATCAAACATGAAATACACAAAATAAGACATATATGATGATATCTTAGATTTACAGTTCTAGATATATTTTCAGCGTTAGCCATAGAATCATTTCATCTTATCTAATGTTAAAAGTGTTTTAAAATAACTTATATTACGTTTCTCTTCTCATTATCAAATATTTAGATATCATATTTTAGTTAATCCATTTTAAATGTCTCAAATTTTCAATTGAAAAATCTTATTTGATAATATTTTGTAATTAGAGTTATTTGCTCATTTTAGTATGTTTAGTTTAGTCACTTGTTACATTCAGCTAGTTCACGTACTATATATTTTATGTACCGATGTCATTTAATGTTGCATTTTAAATGATGCAGATTCAAATATTTAAAATTGATAACATATTTAGGATCTCACTTTCTCTTAACTTTTGTGAGACCTCCTTACTTTCGGAGGGCTTGAGTTTATCTACAGTAATACTTTCTGTACCATTTTGTATAGTACTATTTTTAATCATAATGTTTAAGCAATAAAAAATAATTTTTGAAATTTGTGATTTAAATCAAATATTTCACTAAAGATATTAAATTAAATTATTTATAATTATAGTAAGATATCATTCATTTTAGGACGGATTGAAAAGAAAAGAGTGTATAAATAATAAGATGGAGGGAGCAATAGTTAGTAGAGTATTCAAGTACTCATACTTTTTGTCCCAATTTTCATCATATTAGAGATTTAGTAAATGAGTTCGTATAATATTACTTTCGTTATTATTTTACAAACACATATAAATTCTGATAAAAATAATTGGTAGACTTTTAAACTTTTCAACGGTGACATACAAATTGTGACAGATACGCAATTTTATTTTAGGCACAATATATAAATATGTCATTTAACTTGACTTCATTTCACATTTATATCATCAAAACTCAAGTTATGGTGTATACAATTAGATACTTGTATAAAGTCAAACAACTAGACACATGAGTCTTATACGTCACAATACACAAAATATTATATAAGACATAAATTTCCATGCAGGATGTCACATAAGACGTGTGTTTATTTATTTAATTTTATATAATTTTAAATGTATATTTGTGTATATTCAAAGTTGAAGGATATAAATATGAAACGAGACCAAGTTAAATAACATATTTATGTATTATGCCGTTATTTTATCACTTCATCTGTTTCAATTTATGTGAATATTTTATTTTTCGAGAGTCAAACAATTTTAATTTGACCTAGAATTTGCGCATGAAATCTTATTTTTTTTAAAAATAAAATTTATATATTTATAAATTACATAAAAAAATACTATAAATAATAATTCAAAATATTTAAAAAATGCATAGTAATTTACCATAAAAAGTAAATTTGTTTTAGTTTCGATTTCGAAATGTGCATATAAATTGAGACGGGAGTGTGTTATTGACTTTTACCCAAATTGCCGCGAAGATACTCGAACATCCTTTTATAGACCCGTTTTCCTTTTTCTTTTTTTACAGATTCAAATCAAAGCCCTAATTTCAACAAATCTTCAATTTCCCCAAATTCAATTTCATAGATCACAAATCTGTGATTTTATAGCGTTTTCTTCATCAAATCCATAAGCTTACTACTATCAGTAATGGGTGAATTGAATATGCAAGAGATGCCATTACCTGCTCTGTTCGAGCAAGCTAAAAAAATCCATGATTTGGCTTCGGAATCGAGCGTTGATCAAGTAGTATCATTTTATGTATTTCTGAGAAATTTTGCTGAAATATTTGATTTTTTTGAGTGTTGATTGAATTTGTGTTTGTTTTGATTGTTGATTTTGTAGGGAATAGTGAGGAAAGGTTGTGAGATTTTGAGAGTGTGTGAAGAAATGATTGGGAAATTAGGGCTGTTTTCGCTTAATGAGACTAAAGATGATATTAGCACAGCAAATCTCAAGTATATTCTGGTAAGTGTTTAGTATTATTAGCACATGTATTAGTTCTTTTGTTATTGTTTGCTTTCATGTTACTGTATGTGTTATTTGTTGTGCTTCGGTTATCGAGTTATTTGGTTGTTGTTGTTGTTATTGTTACTTTTTTTTTTCTGAATGATATGTAATGCTTACTTTATTATTTACTATGTCTTCTTTGATTCTGTATTTTTCTTTTCTACTGGCTTTTGTTAAGACGATACTTGATCCGAGTGTCTTTTTAGGAAACAACCTCTCTACATCTGGGAGGTAGGTGTAACGTTTGCTGTAGTCTACCCTTCTTAGACTCTTGTGGGATTATACTACACTGGTTATGTTGTTGTTGTAAATTATGATTAGTACTTGTTAGTAAATCTAGTTTTGTGTTTTTTCTGAACTTTTGATACATAAGTAATAGGTACTACCCCATCTGTTCCAATTTATATAATAGCTTAATCAATACTGAATTTAACAAAGAATGAACTACTTTTGAAACTTGAGTCTTAAACACGTCATAATGTTTGTGATACAACCCAGGATAGTGTGGTTCTCCCTCTGTTGTATCAATTGTACCAGAGCCACCCACCATCGTGCTTTGTGCCTGTTGTGCCTTGGATGGTGACACAGGTATTGTAGTTTGTCCTGGGGCTAGAAATGGTTTGGCACACAATTGTCAAGGACGACAATGTGAAGTGTGGTGATTTGTTATGATCCTATTGTAAGGTATGAAACTTGAGTTCCACACAGATTAAATGGAGAGCTGATTTGGGGCTATTATAACCT